TTCTGAAAATGTGTTAACTGAGATGAACTTGCACTAAAAAGGGCAAATTATAACTAAGTGGAAAGCTCTGTTCATCACAAATCCACAATTACTCACATTGCATGTTCTATTGCTTATGTTGTTTTGGTATAGGAATTAGGTCTTAATACATAAATTTGAAATAAAATATACTCATTGTATCAGCCCATTCTTATGCTGCTATGATGAAATACTGAGACTGGGTAATTTATAAGAAAAGAAGTTTAATTGACTCACAGTTCCACATGGCTGGGGAGACCTCAGGAAACTTTCAATTATGGTGGAAGGTCCCTCTTCCCAGGGTGGCAGGAGACAGAATGAGTGCTGAGCGAAGGGGGAAGTCCCTTATAAAACCATCAGATCTTGTGAGAAAAGCATGGGGGAAACCACCCTCATGATTCAATTACCTCCACCGGGTCCTACCTTTGACACGTGGGAATTATTAAAATTCAAGATGAGATGTAAGTGGTGACGCAGAGCCAAATCATATCACTCATCAACTGAAAACTTTTTAACGTAATTTAAAATTATTCTTACTTTTTTCCTTCTTCTTCCTCCTATTCTTATTTAAAAAAAAACTGTATCACTCAATTTTTAAGACTTTGTAAGATGAAGTGGGCTTAAGAAAAACACAAAAAATGACAAGAAGACATATAAATCAGTACATTGGGAAAAAAAGGTGTGAATAGGGGTATTTCCTAACTTGTTTTACAAGAAGTAGGTAACAAAATTCCTACCTAATCCAAACTTCTTTTCTGAAAACAAAACCCATGCTTAATTATCTGTGAAACTCTGAGCACCAATCATGTCAGATTTTGTTTTCCTATGTGTTCATTTGTTCATGCATTCATCCATCTATCCAGCATGTACTGAGGCTCTGTGTGTGCTAAGTACTCTGGGGTAAGATATTGAGGATACAGACTAAGATATGGTCCTTGTCCTCAAGGGAGGAATGAGATAATTCCAACTGAGTATGATAAATGGTATTGACAGAAGTGAGCACAAGAATGCTCAAAGAACAAACAGGGAAGTAACTCATCCAGTGTGGTGAGGAAGTATAAAAAAGGGTCAGTGAAAACTTCCTAGAGCAGTGGTCCCCAACCTCTTTGGCACCAGTGACCAGTTTCATGGAAGACAATTTTTCTTTTTTTTTTTTTTTGAGACAGGGGCTCACTCTGTCACCCAAGCTGCAGTGCAAGTGGCACGATTTCATTGCAACCTCCACCTCCTGGGCTCAAGCGATCCTCCCACCTCAGCCTCCTGAGTAGCTTAAACTATAGGCATGCACCACAATGCTTGGCTAATTTTTCTGTATTTTTGGTAGAGACGAGGTCAGGCTGGTAGAGACCAGGCCAGGCTAGTCTCAAACTCCTGAGCCCAAGCAATCCACCTCAGCCTCCCAAAGTGCTGGGACTACAGGTGTGAGCCACTGCACCCGGCCGAAGACAATTTTTCTTTTCATGTCTTAGCTGTTATTGAAGTCATTGATGATAGTTATATTTTCATGAGTTTTTATCTTGTTGACTGTATTTCAGGGGGTGGGGAATGGTTTCAGGATGAAACTGAATCAAGGCATTAGATTCTCATAATTAGTGCACAACCTAGATCCCTTGCATGCACAGTTCACAATACGGTTTGTGCTCCTCTGACAGGAGGCAGAGCGCGGGTGGTAATGCAAGCCATGGGGAGTGGCTGTAAATACAGATGAAGCTTCACTTGCTCAACCACTGCTCACCTTCTGCTGTATAGGAAAGGATGCAGAGCTGAATTTCAGAAAATTATTAGAAAAGTTAGCCAAATGAGCATGCAGAGAAAAGGAGAAATACAATTTTATACTTGTATAGCACTTTAAATGTTTCCAAATGCTATTACCTATATTATTTACATGAAAAAACTAAGGCCTAGAGAAGTTGAAGGGTTTGCCAAAGTTTTATGGCTAGTAAATGGTAAAGCTCAAATTAGCACCTAAACTCCTGCTTATAACCTAGCATAATGGTGTCCCACCTTTTAAAGTATAAGAAATTTTGGCCAGGTGTGGTGGCTCATGCCTGTAATCCCAACAGTTTAGGAGGCCAAGGCAGGTGGATCGCTTGAGCCTAGGAGTTCAAAACCAGCGTAGGCAACATGGCAAGACCTCGTCTCTACAAAAAAATACAAAAAGTAGCCAGGCGCGGTGGCACGTGCCTGTAGTCTCAGGTACTCGGGAAGCTGAGATGGGAGAATCACCTGAGCCCAGGGAGGTCAAGGCTGCAGTGAGCCGTGATAGTGTCACTGCACTCCAGCCTGGGCAACAGAGTGAGGACCTGTCTCAAAAAAATAACATAGGCCCGGCGCAGTGGCTCACACCTGTAATCCCAGCACTTTGGGAGACCGAGGTGGGCAGATCACGAGGTTGGGAGATCGAGACCATCCTGGCTAACACGGTGAAACCCCGTCTCTACTAAAAATACAAAAAATTAGCCAGGCATGGTGGCGGGCGCCT